CACTTGGAAACGATCTCAGAAAAACTTACAGCCCTTCTGATATAAAGGTAAGCATGATCGGACGTCAGTTGATGCCACCAGAACATAAGCTGAAGCACGTGAACAAGAAGCTGGTTGTGTCGCACATCGGAATGCACAGAGCGTAATTCCCATTTGAATCGAAATATTCGGTCTCGGCATGCTCACATCTCACAAAATGCATTTTCACATCGTTGCATAAAAATCGTATCTTCTTTTTTATCAACCTAGTGTTTCTCAGCAGTGTTACAATGTTATAAATGTACATCTGAGAATACTGGGTGGTGTGCAAAACACTTGAGCCCAGGCGGGAGTTGAACCCGCGCTACACCGTTCCACGGGTGGTGCTGCCACTACGCCACCGAGGCTATCGCTTATTCACCTCTTAGCTGCACTGAGGAAAATATCTCAATATGTAGTTTATGAATCGCTATTTTACGTATGATACTCACCGTCCTTCACCTGATCATTCGCACAACGTTCGACGGATTTGTCTACGTATCTCTTTTCTGCATACTCAGCACGAACACGTACACGTGATCCAGGATAGCACATTTCCGCAAAGGTAAACGTGAACGGGATCATCACATCCGCCTTGCAGTACAAAGTCCTACCATTCTTCGTCATGGCTTCCTATGAATTGTGAAATTTTAACAGTGCAATTCATTCCAAATAAAATTAACCCACGCCATCTCACAAGGACGCTGGAGTCCAAAGGTCGTCCGCTCATCAAAGGTGCCAATCAGCTGGTCCGTAATTTGTCTCACCCAAGAATTTCTTTTATTTCTCACCTTTTCTTTTGGAGAACTTAGCTATAAAATCACAATTTCAATGAAACCTAGTGAGCCCCACAAAAAATATACACCGAAACAGACATCTATAGATAATGCGCCCAAATTGAACGCTCCCTCTAGACAGGGCGGAAACGATTGTCACAAAATGTGAAATGCAGACATTTCCTGACTACCGTTTTCTTGAATTCGTGACTATGTATACTGAGTAGGCAGCTAAAAAAAAGGACTAACGCAAGGAAGATACCAAGCAAGTGCTGAACAGTGTTGAATAGGTAACTAAAGGCTTATAACGAACGAACCCCAAAAACATAATCCAAATTCCTCGACCATTTCCTCTGCGGAGTCACTGCTACAACGAACCGCTTGATGCCCCTGTAATCACCATATAGCCATTCAGATCACCACATGTCTCATCAAACTAAAAAAAAACATTAAAAAAAATACAAAAAAAGCTAACTTGGAGCCATTGCTAATCAGATGGTAAACGCTGTTCTGTGCATAAGTAGAAACGAGAGAGCCATTGGCTAGCGTATTGCCCACCATTCTGCCTCGTAGGATTTACTACCACCCTGTAAATAAAGAAAACAAATATTAACTAGTTAGATGACAATTTACGACGACAAAAACCACTGTGGCCAATCATCGACTCAAATCATCGGCAGTTTTTGAAGAAGGCGAAGAGGTAAGAATGTCGTTGTTAAATAGATTTCTTCTTTCAACTTCGTGTTATTGGCTCAATCAACAGAGAATGCATTACTTAATTAGCATCCAATTGTAAAAATTGCGCAATTACAATAAAAAAACTGGAAATCGACCGCAGAAACATTGCCACGACGAGTTAAGAATGAGGCCACGGAGCGAAATGATCTCACAGGAAGCTGTGAAGACGGTAAACAAGTCTTGACAAATCCACGACGGTCGATATGGATACTGTCATGTCCAGCCAATCGAAAGCAGATTAAAGTAGGATTGATGGGACCAGTAGAGCCGTCGTTAGCACTTGGTGATTACTAAACAACGACCTTATTTTGAATAAGTTTTACGATAATTTAGCTAATTGGCAGCTATTTGATCTTGATTACCATGGTTAATCATGATGCGTGCATGGCGCAGTTGTTAGAGATCTCTTACAATAAGCGTGTGGTCGTTTTTTTAATCTCGACCCTAGGGACCCTCCCAGTACCGAGACCAAACACATGCGCTTTCATAAAATAATCCAATTCCAACGGAGCCCCTGATACGATAGCATGAGAAAGGACGAGTACGGAAAGGCTGCTAGAATCTGAGAACATCTTAGGCGATCTAAACTACGAAAAACCAAGTTGACGATCTACACCTATAAGGTGCTGAACTGAATTCGAATACCATATAGAGAACCAAAGGCAAGAGCGACAGATTTCGACGTTATCGGATTAGATGAGACGAAAGTAACATCCCATTTCACCCGTTCGTGACGCCGAAAAGGAAGTATACCTTAAAACATCTGAGAGCAGAAGAGTCGGCAACTTTGGTATTCTCGTCAACACGAGTTTAGCCATGTCCGTTGACTCAACGAACAAGTAAGATGCCGGATGAGATGCTTACGGTTGAGCGACTCTCGACCAATTTAACCTTCATTCACCGAGCCAAACACCTAACGTGTCTGACCAGCAACCGATGGAAGAGTCTTTGTCTAGTGGATTGCTTCTGATGTCAAACGCACAGCAGGAACACCACGGGGCTGATAGTTAGAGTTTCTTACGAAATCCTGGACGATACTCAACGACTAGCCTACAGAGAGCAAAACTAAGCCAGCGACTATCGCAAGCAAGATAAAAATGGACGGTCGGTTGGCTTCCACTCGAGTTACTCGAGAACCATTGGTGCTGTAGGTAATAAAGCTTTTGCATCAACACCTCGGATAGTCAAGATTGAACATCAACTTGCAGAGAGATGACCACTATACTGTGAATTATAGCGATCTCAAAATGAATGAGAAGAACGAGCTCCTTTGTAAAAGCGAAAACATGAAACATCTGTGGTAAACCTTATTTAAAGTCTGCGGCTCCATCCTCGTTTAAGTGTTAGTCGTCCGGATCCGTATTTTGTTGATGTACAGATCCAGGATAGTGGCTGTACAGCCCAGTGGAGCCTGAGTCACCCTCGAGCAGATAGTTTTTCTACTTAAATGCTGAAGCAAAAAAGAAGGGTCCAGAAAGATCTTAGGATTACCCCGCATTATAAAATAAGACGCTAAGCTTCTAAAATTCATTTCCATCTCAACTTTTTCCAGTGCTTCTCAAGTAGACTTTAGAACGATCGATATCATTATATTCGGCATTTTTTCGTTATCTGGCAGGATTCTTGATAGAGGGTTTTTGCTGGACAGAGACTTTCCACTAGACTACTATCAATTGTTCGAAGGCTTAAATTTCGGAAAATTCGAAAATGTACTTGATTAAATTTAGAAAGGCCTTCTTATACCACTGTTGCACCGAAATTAATAGTGTGTTCACACGCCTTGAGAATTTTCGCGCTCATATCTCGTGGTACAAAGCTCTTCCTAAGACTACTAATAACCATTAGATAACGCAGGTTCCGGATCATCGGATCATGGATCACTGTTTGTGTTTGTGTTCAAAGCTGTTTTAGGATCGTGTAGCAAAGAACAGAAGTCTGAGCTACAAATACGTCGCGCACTGCTTGTTGGTCATGGCATATGAGTGACTGTGGATCGATAACGCGACCGATTATTCACGCAACACGACTCACTTGTGGTGCACGGTATTTGCTAGTAACTCTATGTTTTTTTTCACTACAAAAAAATTGTGAATATAACAAAAGATTCTGATACTTTAAGATTTTTCGATACACTCATATGCTTTTAGTCCATAGATTAGGTTGCTTAGGCTTAGGCATTTCAGCAGGTTCATTTGACATTATGAGATGAAAATGCAAAACCCAAGTCCACAAAACGATAGGACAAAGTTTTTTTTTACATTTACGAAACAGAGAAAAAAATGTCAGAAAAAATACGAAAATATGTGCAGTAGCACGACGCGTGTCAAACACTATTTTATTCGTAGTGCTACAGCGCTGTAAGAAGGCTTTTCCAAGAAACAGGCACATTTTCTGAATTAGCAAGATTCAAGTTTCCGGATGAACTGAAAATCTGGGTGGGAAGTCTCCGTCCAACACAAAAAGGCTCCTTCAAAAAACCCTTTCCGATAAGAGAAATCACTTTGCAACTATCTACAGCGCAGTGTAGCTGAAGTCGTTCTTCAACAAGTAGTCTCCTCAATTTATACGTTAAAAGAATGAAAAGAGGAAAAACTAGGCTTAGAAAAATCTGTGAAACAAACACTGCCAGTGACAAAGATACCTTGTAGTATGCAAACACTTACCATTCGAGCACATAATTTTGAAAGATATGGAGGCCTTATTTGTTACTGTTTTAGCATTTTATACCCAACGTATAGCTTTCTAGACTCTTAACGTGAGGTCTGGGTACTCATGAGTAGCTTGCCAGTCTCTCTCGGAAGAGCAGGAGGAACTTATTTGTTGGAGGCGATTCTTAACCGCCTCCCATGTACTTCCTAGCCGCTTGATTTGGGGCTTTTGGCCGACTTGACTCGTAGACATAGGGTCTTGTCAATTCGGCGCTGCAGAAGCAGTGAACTCATCCTTTGAATCCACATGCGTCTCTGGGAAGCACGCGGTTGTTTTTGGCTCGCGTTTATCCCCTATCCACCACCTGTGGACGCACCACGTGCCCTCGTGACTATCTGGGCGGGATCCCTCAAAGATTGAGGTCCGTGAAAGAAAAAAAAGCTATAGAAGAAGAATATGATGTTAGCGATACCTAGAGCGAGGAGGAACCACTGAGCTACTACTGCACGCGATAGGGAAAAATGGAAGTGATGCTGGTACCCGCTCGAGTCACTCGACGATCAAAGGGACGACAGGTGATACAGGTGATAGAGGCCTTATAGAGACGGTGGCTGGTCCTTAAGTCGTAGGTAACTAAGAACTTTCACCCAATCCCTTTTACTACGGTAACAGTGGGTATTTAGCATTCTAAGCTAGAGACGTTGAGTTTCTAAACCTTATTTCTATCTTGACTCTTCTTCTTGTGGCTTTCAATAAAGGTGTAGAGCTAGCGATATCATTGTCTTTTACATATATGCAATCTATAACTCGATATGACTACAACAGAAACTCCTAATCTCCACCTGCTTGTCTTCCCCACACTCTTTAAAATATAAAAGACCAGAAAGACTTATGAGAATCAACAGGAAATGCAGTTTGATTACAAACTCTTTCTCATTATACCCTCTCAATCTTGTGTTCAGGCATTCACAGTCAGAGCACAAACAATTTAGAAATGTTTTCAGCAGTTATACACCCACTGATGCTGAGTGATATGCAAAACATGTGATCCTAAGGGGGAGTTGAACTCGCATTCTGTCCGCACCAGGGGCATGCGGCACTAGTTCACCACTAAGGCCACCGCTCTACCACCATGCTTCGCCATTCGGCTCAAAGAAACTATCCCTTACCGGATTATATTGGAGACGAAAGGTTTGAAGTGTGTCA